GGAAATCCATACAGGTCACACGGGCCCTGGATGCTGCTCGCCAGCGGAAGCAGCGAAAGTCTCCCCAGGAAAAGTCTGCGCGAGCTCTTCATTTTCTTTCTTCAGACTTTCACATGTTAGAAAAGCAGCAAATGCCAAGTAAGCAGATGGATGGAACTGTGCGTTCACATCCTACATGTCGAAGCCTGGAGAATGGGGGAAGCTGCTTAAAAATTATCTACAGTGAAAGGAGTGCCAGCCAAGAGCAGTCCTGCATCCAGCACAGGGCCTGGCTCTCAGTGATCACTTTTAATGTCTTTCAGGGCATGAGGTGGCCATACACATTTGGATTGTTCACGCTCTCTCCATACCACCATCTCCCTATTTTAAAAGAAATGTAATTTGTTTTATTGTTTTTTTAAAGAGGATGCAAAAAAAATAGTAAAAAAAAAATGCAAACATTAGAAACAATACCAAATTTCACTAAACAAAATGATGGGAATTCAACAATGGTTGTTATATTGCATTTTGTTGCCTTCAAATTAGTTGTTCAGATTATCAGATATAAGCATATAAATTTGGTCAAAAATTATAAAAAATTACAAAGGAGAGAGAAAAAAATTAAGCAATAACTGCTTCAATAAGCCAGTAGCAATTAGCAGTACAATTACCCAAGCTATCTTGCATACATACATATCTAAGGAATGTAAAAATTTTAAAGAGGTTCTAAAATTTTCGTGGGTCTTAGGCACTGAGCCTTCGTTCCCTCATTGGTAAACTGGTTTCTGGTGCCTGGAAGACTGGCCATTAAATGGTCCTATCATCACCCTGGGTGAGATATACGCTTTATGCCAGAAGCAGAAAATCAACGTATCTACAAGGAAACGAGGCATAGGAAATAAGTCCTGGTGAGGGCCTGGCCAACTGGGCTGCATGGCCTTGTTCCCCACTTGTTCCTATAACTCATCTTAACTGGAATGTCTGTTTTCAAGTGAGGCTGAGATTTTAGTGGCTCCTATTTGTAACTCCAACATTCTGCAAAGCTGATGCACGAGGATTTCAAATTCGAGCTCAGCCCAGGCAATTTAGAAACTTACTGATTTTGTAAGACCCTGTCTCCAAAAAAGGGCTGGTGATATAGCTTAATATATCAAGTCTTGGGCTTGGATTCCATTTCTAGCACTGGAAGGAAAAAAGGTAAATTTTATTTGGAGTCTCCCAATTTTAAATGCCAGCTCAAACTTCAAAGACAAAATCTCTCTGACCAAAGCAAAACACCTCCATGAATGTATCTGGCACCACTTTAGAATATCTGCTGAACCTGGTCACTGCGGGGAGACTCCTTGAAAACAAATGGCAAAACAGAGAAGAATCTATGCATCAGAAAGAGAAAAACTGTATAGTTCTCTTGTGGTGGTGTGCTGTAGATTCTGATTACTACTATTCAAGGGTAGCCCTTTGGTAATGGTAAATTTAATTAAATTTCCAATTCTGTAAAATTCCATTTGGGCTTTTGGCATACTGTCACCCCCCTGCACCCTCAATTTGAAGTTTGAGTAACACGGCCAAGATTTCATGACTTTAATGTATTAGGAACTCTTCTTATAATCATGATTTTGATTTTTTTTAAAGAGTAATTAGGCCTTAATAAAGCCTACAGACTTGCCCGGTCACATCTGCTTGCTTGCCTTGAGTTAGGGCTTATTGCATGAAACAGAAGCCTGCATCTTATTATTCATTCATTAGGAATATTTAATAAAGATTGTTTTTAAAAGACGTAGAACTTTGGGGATGTGCCCCAAAAGCCACATGCACTCGCCTCATAGGGATGAAGTCAGCCTGTGACATTGCCAGGACACCACTAGGCCCGCCTGGTCCCTTTTTTTTTTTTCCCTTACACATCTGATGGGCTCACTTTCTAATCCTAGAAAAAACAATGAAGACCTAGTGTGAGAAGCTCCTTGAATAGAGAAGCATAGGCTCCTACCGAAGTAGGAGCAGGAGTTCCTATTTAGGCTGGCAAGGAGGAAGGTCTGTGAGTCTTCTTGAATTTTCTAAACGGCATCTGCAGTAAGAGAAGATTGATTTAGACCTCAATTAGAAGCCAGGGAGAAGATGAGCAAATAGGCTCAGAATTGAAAAAGTGTGATAGAATCTGGGATTGGAAATAAATTCAGTTAGGTGGGAGCATAAAAAGCTTTGTTCTATTTTAAGTTCACGGAGAGCCATTGTCGCTTGCTTGTTTCTAGGGTTCTTCTGCCCCAGTGGCTTCACACAACAGGAGGCCTGGCTTGCTGATTCTTCAGTGCCTGTCACCTAGGCTCTTGACCTTTCCTGAGGGCCCACCAGAGGGCAGATGGTTTTTTCTGTTTTCTTTTTTTTATGCACTTGCTACAAGGTCTCACTATGCAGCTCAGACTTGTAGTGATCCTCCTGTTTCAGCCTCCCCAGTGCTGGGATTACAGGCATGTGACCCCAGGCCTGGTCTCTGTGGCTGCCTCAATGCGCCCCAGGAGCGGGGATGGCATGGCATGTGGCTCTGGGGATCGAACCCCGGTCCCTGCGCTTGCCTAAGCAGGCGCTTAGTTCACTGAGCTATCTCGCTGACCCTGTCAGATGGTTTTCTACTTTATTTTATTTGTCTATCTAGTACAGGGTCTACAGGGTCTTACTACACAGATCAGACTCATAGTGATCCTCCTGTTTCAGCCTCCCCAGTGCTGGGATTACAGGTGCACGCCACCATGCCCAGTCTCAATCACCATCTCAGCATGCCCTAGGGCAGGGCCAGCACAGCACACTGGGGATCGAACCCGGTCCCTGTGTCTGCCTAAGCAGGTGCTTTAATCTGCTGAGCTATCTGGATGGCCTGAGATGGTTTTCTCAGTGAGTCCCTTACCCTGGCTCTCCAAAAGACAACATCCTTCAGAGCTGGTGCAAAGTCCTTCTCTAAGAAGCCACCAGCATCTCTTCATGCCTCCCCTACTCCAAGAAGTAATTAGTCTTTCAAAGCTCCCTCACTCACTAGCTGCAGCATCAATTTAATTACACACAATGTTACTTTCCTATTTCCTCATCTCCCTCATCCCTAAAATTTAAATCCCACATATCCTATATATTTATCTAAGTTCTACAATGCTTTTGGCAGGCTTTTCTACACAAAATGAGGTTCACAAGTATTTTCAATAAATAATTTAGGGACAGAAGATCAGGAAGTTTCCCCCTCCCTGAGGATAGCATTCTATTTTTTTGACATGGTCTTGCCATATAGTTCATGCTGGTGTGGAACTCACTATGTAGCCCAGGCTAGCCTCCAACTTACAGTAATCCTCCTGCCTCAACCTCTTAAGTGCTGGGATTATAGATGTGGGACACCAAGCTTGGCAAGAGCAGTACTCTAAGATAAAAATCTGACCTCATCACAGCCCCACTTAACCCTGGCAAAGGCCACTCTTCATTCTTGCACTAGAATTCTAATTCAGGAACACACTGGTTACTTCATAGCTGGGTGAACTTGCCATCATCTACTCCTTCAGCCAACTCCTACCCTGCACCCGGTTTGACAAATTGATACTGCTTCTGTGATCTGCGCAACAGGACACACTAACTCATGCTACACAGAGGTAGCTCTACTTCTATGATTGCTTTTTTCTGGAAAGTCCCTTCTATTTTGCTTGCCTGGCTCAGGTGGGTATGACTTCCTCAAGGAAGCATTCTTTCTTCAAATGCACATCCAGTTGTTTTTTTTTTTTTTTACTTGAAGTAATTGTATTAACTGGATATTTAATTTTTTTTAAAAAAAATCTTTTTATTTGGTACAGGGTCTTTCTCTCTCTCTCTTTTTTTTTTTTTTTTGCAGAACCAGGGATTGAACTGAGGCCCTTGCCCTTGCCAGGGAAGCACTTATTCTTTTGAGCCATCTCCCCAGACCCTTGGTACAGGGTCTCACAACGCAGCTCAGACTTGTAGTGATCCTCCTACCTCAGCCTCCTCAGTGCTGGACTTACAGGTATGTGCCACCAGGCCCAGTTTTTGGTGGCCAGCAAGGCTCACCTGGCTGTGAGATGTGGTAGATGGGATTGAACCCGAGTTCTTGTGCTTGCCAGGCAGGCGCTTAGACCCCCAAGATATCTCCCCAGCCCGGGATATTTAATCTTAATTTTATAATTTGTTTTAGTCCTAAACAAGAAAAGGGGATACAAATGAATCACCATTTTGTATCTATATATTCAAAATAGTTAGGATAGATATACAGCTACTTTCTCTTAATTCAATAGATTTGTTCTAATAGTGTTTGTGGACAGGATATCATGTTTGCATCTAGTACTATGAATAACCACTAAGAAGGCAACAATATGCAATGCATTAATTATCATTATTTTTTTCAGAACCAGGGATTGAACTCAGGTGCTTGTACTTGCCAGGCAAGCGCTTATTCTACTGAGCCATCTCCCTGGCCAATGTATTAATTATTGAAACTGTCCTACTAATCGGTTTTGAAACTCTCATTGCTATTTGTTTCTCAATAAAATTATTAAAATAAAATAAAAATAAGTGTTTAGACAGGAAAAAATTTTTGTTTTAGTCTAGTCAGCTCAAAAGGATCCCAGCGGTGTGTTCATGTATATCTATATTTCTAGTCCAGATTAATGTTTCCACACATTTTTATTCCATACTTTATGTAGCCATATGTAATTTATGAAAACAAAGATTAAAGCTTTTTTTTTGCAGTTTGAACTATGCACTTCAGGCTGGTCTTGAACTCGCAACAATCTTCCTGCCTCAGTCTCCAGAGTGCTGTGATCACAGGCATGTGCCACCACGCCCAGTTTTTGGATTAATATTTTTTTAAAGTAATACACTCAAAAAAGTTTGTATGATTAAAAATGAAAACAACAGTGATTCCAGCTACTGGGGTAGGAGGATCCCATATTTGAGTCCAGTCTCCACAGCTTAGAATGTCTCAAAATTTTAAAATGACATGGTGTACATACATGTTACATTAGGATTTTTCCCTCCTTTTCTGTCCCTACATATAACCGCCTGCAAACGCCCTACGAGTCTCTAACCGGATCAGTCAGTGACTGGGTGAAACTCTCTTCTCCGCGTTGCCAGGCACAGCTGTATTTAGCAGTCACCATCTGAACCTGAGCAGATTACAAATCTGTGCTTGCCACCAGGGTGAGAGCTCTGGAGGTAGCAAGAACGGTGTCTCTGCGGAGCCAGCGCCCGAGTCCCAGTCAGCCTCCAACCTATCTTCCACGCTGAGGTAAACGCCCCTCCTTAGGTTGTAGGTGTTCTTCCTTAAAAGAACGGTTCCCTTCCCGCCCAGGAAATTTGAGCGGCTCGCATCTTCAAGGGTTGGCTCTGAGAAAAGCGATGCAATATCAGCCGGTCCCGAAACACAAGAAAAGAAATTCTGTAAATCAGGCCAGAAAACGCCACCAGAAACCAGACTCCCAGGAAAACCAATAGAGTGGGAACCAACGGAGTGGGACGTGCCAGGGAAGTTGACGACACCGGAAGTCATGTGGCGCAGGTCGGCCCGAATCCATCATCTCGGTAGTCGATTTTCAACCTCATACTGCTCTGGCGGGCTCCTCTGAGATCCGCTGTTCGGTGCTCAACTCGCCCGTGCTGCTGCCGTCGCCGAAGGAGGGGCAAAGCTCAAGATGGCGGACAAAACGCCAGGCGGATCTCAGAAGGCCAGTTCGAAGGTAATTTCTCAGAGCTCTTCGTAAGTCAGTGGGTCCGTCCCTGTCGTCTGAGGCCTCCAGACGCAGCTGGCCTACTAGAGGTGGTTGGGATGGGGATCCGAGGCCTGGTCGCAACAGCAGGCCTGGGCCCCGCCGCACCGTGGTGCGCAGGTTGGGAGGCCTGGTGTCTCGCCGAGCCCCAGCCTGGATTCGTCTCGAGACTGGCGTGCCCACGGGGTGGTGGCGCGAGTGGCGTGGCCGTCTCTTGGCACTGGGGTGAGAGCAGAACTTCACCTTGAGGCGGGAATCCGCGAAAACGAGGCCTTGAACCACTGCGTGCTGAGCCCCGAGGCCGCCAGGTAGCGCCCGGAGAGGCGGGAATCTTCACCGTGCTTCAGTGGCTGTAGATTTTTGCTCGCTTCTTCAGTTTTTTTCACAAGCTTTTGGCCTCCCGCAGTTTCCTTCCCGCCCTCCAAGGACCCAGTAACCCCGAGGGCCGCGAGTGTGCGGTGGAAGACGGGATGGACAGTGAGGGGACGCGTAGGGGCGGGAGCCGCTCGGCCCGCGCTGCTGCGTCGCCAAGGTTAATGTTTCCTCTGCACGTGGCGTTGCCTTGCTCTAGCGAGTGCAGAACGAGGACTTCTTAAAAAAGTTGTTTTTCGGACAGGGTCTTGCCATATATATAGTTCAGGCTGGCCTTGAGCTCACTTTATAGCCCAGGCTGGAAGTTTAGCCTTAATAAAATTGTGGTTGGTGCCATCTTGGGTGGGTCATGGCCCACTTAATTTTTTTGTTTGATTTCCCACCTGGAACTCAGTATTGCCATGAAGTAGTTATGCTTCTTGATGCTGATACACGAAGATGTGTAACTTTTCAAGGTTCTAGGGACATAGAAGGTGTGTGGTTACAAGTCACTTATGAAGAAATGAAGCTTAAGTGAAAGGGGAGAACCTTACATTTGCCACCTGTTCTGAGAAACGCAATAGCCCATATTGTTTTTGTTTTGTTTCTAATAAAGCTGAGTTACGCTATTTGGTGAATGATGTATATCAGATACTTAGTTTGCAATTAGTAATAGCCTCTTTATCAGCCCTCTGTTGAGTTAAACTCTGGTAAGGGGCTTTATATCAAATCCTTAGTCCCTAGGAGTTTTTTTCCTCCCCAGTGCATTTCTCCCCTTCTGCTTCGGCATGGGAGGTAATAGGTGCGTATCTCACCCTGCCTCTACACGTATGTGACAAAAGCAGTTCCATATAGCGTTAGGAAATAATGTATTACTTATGCTAACTACATCTATAATAATTAACGATTTTTTTTCTAATGTGTTAATATTCTCTTATGTGAGGCTTTATAATGTTCAGACTTCTTTGTAAAACAGTGTTTCTCTTAGTTGTGTTTGGATGTCCCCCATAAAGAAATTACTAGAATTTCTGTTAGTAAATCTTCCAGTTTATATCTCTTTCCATTATCACCTGTTGATATGTTTAATATTGTGTCTTTTTTGCCATATAGGTGTGTCTTTTTTAGAGACAGGGTCTCACTGTGCATCTCAGGCTGGCCTTGAGCTCACTTTGTGGCCCAGGCTATTTCGAACTTCTTCCCTCATCCTTTTGAGTGCTGGGATTACAGGCATGCACCACCACACCTGGCAACAGAATATATTTGGATTCAAAAGTATTGTATCTTTAGTTTTCAGTTAATATGGAAATTAATGTAGTGGGAAGGTTATGGATTTTGATGATGATTTCTTGATTAATTTAATATGGAAACTAATGTAGTGGAAAGGTTGTAGATTTTGGTAATGAAGAGATTTGACTTTTGTCTTTTTAAATAATTATATCTTGAGTTTGTAATTAACATTAAGGCAAATTGCTTAAACTTTTGATCCTCACTTTTCTTGTACTATAGATATATTCTCTCTTTTTATGATGTTGATAGAAGATGATGTTAATGCTTATAACATGCATAATCTTCCTCTTGTTCTCAAAGGAAATAAAAATGTTTGATTTTTGAAATGTCAAAAATCCTTTATTAAAAGATTAACTTTTAATCCTGAAATTTGGAATCTTAAGTCATCAGCTGTCATAGTGACTGCCTAAATTGCCGTTTTTTATTTCTAACACAAGTCAGAGTATATTAGAGAAAATATCAGATCGTTTTGGCCAGTGCTACAATATTTAGAATTTGTAGGTTTGTTTTATGTTTTGATTTCCGTTTAGAAAGAGCAGCTAAATGGCTTATATTACCCAATACAGATAGTATGCACACATACTTCTCTATGTTCTTTCATCTTTGGTAGTTAAATTTTCATTGATACAGTTTGGAATGCTTATTAATCATATTTCTAGATATTGAGGAAAGTGCTGATTTAAAAGTATTCACTATACAATATTTTTACTGTTAAGAATGGCAAAGTTGTTAATGTCTAATTATCAAATAATTAAATTAGGTAACCTATACAGATCCTTCCAGCTTTAAAATTGCATTTTATTTATAATCAAATGACTTACCTATGTGTATAATTGTCACAAAGATGCCCTGATTCCAGTTTATTTTCTGCGTAATTTTATGCTACTTTTCATTCTAAGCTTGGCAATACATTCAGTAAATATTATAGAAGTAAACATTTCTTATGCATTTATTACTGTTTACCCTTAGACTAAAATATTGCCTCTCTAGGAGAGGGATTTTGGTGCCATATTATAGCTTTGATTTTTGGAGGATGTGAGAGTTTGAGCCTACGATTAACTTATAAAACTGTTAAACATAATTCTTTAGAATTTAGTTTATAAAAACTAACTTGTTATTTTGACTTCAGGAGTTGTTTGCCTGCTCATCTAAATGAAAGCATTAAGAGAATCTGGTGTTTTCTTTGCTTTCTCTTGTGTGGATATACTGCTACTAGAATGCAATTGTGTGCCCTGCTATTTCACTTTGTGACAGTGCCTATTTCTTGCCATACCATCAAAAATTGAGTTAGGTAAATGGATAAAACAGGAAATAATACTAGGTTCCTTGGACAGCCAGTGTGAATTGAACACTGGGCAGGAAGAGGCTTCCAGAGCATAGAGGAATATGATTGGCTTATTTTAAGTGTGAGCAGAGTTTTGAAAGATATAGATGAGAGCATAAAAAAGCTGAGTGAGGTAAAAAAAATTTGTTGATAAATGGTTGGCTTGGCTAGTGCAGAGGGCACTTGCATGGGTGAGTAAAAGAAGCAAAGACTGGAAAGTTGGGGTGCTAGGAAATAAAATTTGAGAGCCAGAGAAATTCAAGGCAGAAAAGTCCTTTAACAAAGTGCTAGTCCAGCGGAATAGTATAGACTAAATTGATGGCTAGAACCACAAGTTAGGAGATTATTGCTGGCATATGCTAAAGATTGCTTTAAAAATGTCACTTCATCCTCAGGATTTCCCCTAGCAACTTTCCTCCCCTGCCCAGTTATGATTTGCCTATCCTCTGTATTCTTGTGGAATTACATTGTTTTACCTTTTTGTGTGTGTTTCTGTGTCTTTTAGAGACAGGGTCTCTCTGTGCAGTTCAGGCTGGCCTTGAGCTCACTTTATAGTCTAGGGTGGCCTTGAACTCCCAAGGATCTGTTGCTGGGATTAGAGTTATGCATGACCACATCCAACTTTTTTTTTTTTTTTTTTTTTTTTAAAGCTCCTAAGGACAGGAGCCACATCTTATTTTACGTTATATTTCTAAACAAGGCATAACACTGGACTAATAAGAGGTGCCCAATAAGTGCTTAAATAAAAAAGATCTGAACCACAGTGGTATCTTTAGAAAGGGTATCCATAAAAGAGCTTATGTGAGAGATAAAATGAATTTGATTAACTCATTATTGGGGATAAGGAGGAAGTCCAGGGTGACCCTGTTATAATGCTGCTGCTGACTAACATGCATTGAGCAATTACTAACTTACCTAGTTTCACCTGCATTTTCCTGTCAGAACAACCCCAGCAGAGATGCTGTTCATCTTTACATATGAAAAAAACTAGGCCCCACAGTTACAGAACTGGTAAATATTACAACCAGGCAGTCGGATTCCAGAGCTTGCATTCTTAATTTTGATATATTTCTACATGATAAGTGATTGAGAGTTAACTATGCATTGTCAGGAATAAGAATGGTAAGAGAGACTAGTTTGGGAGGAATTTTAGATAAGGAGCTTACAGACCTTCAAGTGAAGATGTTCAGGAGACTGAGAATGGGTTGAAACTCAAAAGATGACCAAATTGAAGGTCAAGAATTTGAAGTGATTTTAGTAATGAAAGTGTTAACCTGCTTCCTATGGAAGAAATTCTTGTGGCAATGAAAATTAATGCTATTAGAGGGTGAAAAGAAAAAGACTATTTAGGAGACCGAGAATGACTAGGCAGAGTAGTGCTGGTAGAAGAATATGGCTGTAGATAGCTTGCTGACTTGAAAACTCAGGTGTGGGATTTTTATTTGAAGTTAAATAAGAGTAGTAAGAAAAAAAAATACTAGTTTTTGTTCTCACCTAGGAAGATAAAGGGCTATAAGATCTAGTGTACTTTTCTTTACCTTTATCCTCTTAGAAGTCATCAGAAGTATACTTTATTCTTTGGGTTTTTCTTACTTTCTCTACACCTGTACCGTGTGCTTTCTTTGCCCTGAGATAACTTTCTCTTGTATCTGTTGCTTTTTTTACCTCAGACTTTTCTTATTCTGCCTTTCTTCCCCCCCCCTTTTCATTTGGTTGAGGAATTGTGATGTGAACTTTAGATCTTTAAGCATCATTAGTTTATGCTTTTTAGTTAAGAAAAACAGGGGCCAGGGATATAGCTCAGTGGAATAAGCGCTTCCCTGGCAAGCACAAGGGCCTGAGTTCAATCCCCTGTTCCGCCACACAAAAGAAAGAAAGAAAGAAAGAAAAACAATCCAAGATAAATAATACAATTCATTTCCAGGTTGCAGAGAAAGGAAGGTTCAGTACCTGTGGTTTTAGATTTATTGCTTACCTCGACTACTTTTGAAGTCAGTCATTCTTTAAAAACTTACTAGGTTCTGTTTGTATCTTTCTGTTAACCTTAAGTCTAAAGTTTCATTGTGAATGTTGGGTAGCGGTATCTGCGTATCAGCAGTTAATGTCTGGTCTCAGTCTTCCCATAAAAATTGTGTTTTCTTCACAGTCATTGTATTTATTAAATTGGTATCTAGGTGTTATACTATTTTTTTTTTCTTTTTTCTGTTATGATTAGGATTTTTGTTAAAGCTGCTGTTTTGGGAAACAGTTGATTTTGTTTTTTTAAAGTTCAGCCTCTTGATTGAATTTTTCATTTGAAAAAGTAGACATTTATTATCTTTGATTTTCTAATTTCTAGATGTCTGCAAGTTTGTGCATCTCAAGCTGTGTGTCAAAGTGTGTTTCACAGAGTTCAGTTGAAATGTAAAAACATTTTTTCTGGCCCACGGATATGGCTCAGTGGCATAACACCTGTCTGGCAAGTGTGAGGTCCTGAATTTGATTCCTGGTGAAAAAATAAAATAAAATAAAAATTCTGCAGTGCTTTTAATAAAAAAAAGGACAAATGATTGGGAAGAGATCAGAAAAACAAAGGCTGTGTAAGGTAGCACAAGCCTGTAATCGCAACACTCAGGAGACTGAGGCAGGAGAATTGCCCTGAGTTTGAGGTTGGCTGTGTAGTAAGTTTGAGACCAGACTGGACTCCGTCATGAGGCCTTGTCTCAAAAGCAAAACAGAAACAAAAAAGCAAGACAAAACATAGAAAAGAGATGGCTGGGAGAAGAGAATGAATAGGGGCCACAGTAAAACAGGAAAAAAAGAATGGGCTAGCTTATGTCAAGGGCTCAGTACAGTGCAGTTTATTTAGAGGAGTTTGTGTGATAATCTGATGAGCTATTCTTAGCATTGTGTTGGAAAAAATAAAGCAATACTGTATGGACTCATGGATCTGCCTGTATTTGTTTTTGCTAAAACATACAAATCTTTGATTTTTTTTTCTAAAACATCAATGTCTCATGTGTTTTATTTGAAATCTAAGCCTGGGAGGTAGGACTCTTAAGAGACATTTGTGATCTCAAGATTTTTTAAAGAAATTTATTTATTTGATACTAGGTCTCGCTATACAGAGACCCATAGTGATTCTCCTATCTCAGCCTTCCCAGCATTGGGATTACAAGTGTGTGCCCCCACACCTGGTTTCGGTGGCCAGCAGGGCGCATCTGGGGTTCTGGGGCTGCCACAGCATGCAGTACTGGGGATTGAACCCAGGTCCTTGTGCTTGCCAGGCAGGTGCTAAAAGGCCACCGAGCTATTTCCTTAGCCCCGGATGTCAAGATTTTTTATTTCATTTTTAACAGTTAAATTACAACAGTACTTTCAAGAAACAACAACAAAAAAAAGTGACAAATTTTAGGTATCTGTAAAATTTCCAGAAAGATACAGTACATTATTTAGTTAATAATCACGTAGCTTGGCTCTTTGTCCCTAGCTGTATAGGAAAGATCCAGATTATTTTGTACCCATGTGTAATCTGTAAGATAAAATTCTAATAGTTGACATTGGTGGGAAGTGCCATTATTAGATTAGCTTTTTCCCTGACTGAACTCTTCTAACTCAGCTAGTAGTATTCTGAGTTAGAAGCAGCTCTCCTCAGGGTTGGTCAGATAGCTAAGCGGACTAAAGCGGCCCAGGTTCAATCCCCAGAGTGCTGTGTTCCCCCTACCCCTAGCGCACTGAGACAGTGATTGAGACTGGGCGTGGTGGAGCACACCTGTAATCCCAGTGCTTGGGAGACTGAAAACAAGAGAATCATTATGTCTGGATCTACATAGTGAGACCCTGTAGACACGTTTTAAATACGTTAAAAAGAAAGAAAGAAAACAGCTCTCTTACAAGTTTCAAATAGGATTTTATTTGGGGATTTACTAGGGTTTACTTGGGGATTTTATGATAGTTCTTTTCTTGTGGTAAATATGCAGTATAACTTGTCCATTTTACTAGGTATGATAAATGTGTGGTTTTTTTTGCTGTTAAGAGTCCACATTTTTCCTCCTGTGAGTGGGATTGATCCCAGAAACTAGGGCATGCTAGTGCAAGTGCTCTACTCGTGTGAGCTGCATCCTCAGCCCTAGGATCCACTTTTTGTGGCTTTGGGTAATTGAAGAAAGGAGTGGATGTTTCTTTTGCTTTGTACCCAAGAAGTTGCTGCTCTGGCAGTGTTGTGGCAATAAATAGCCTATGACTTGGAAAGAGCTTTTGTATATAAATTCTGTTGTTAAAAATAGTGATTGTTTCCCAGTCTATACTGTAAAAAGGTAACTTATGTCTCACATATATTTCATTAGCATTTATATTGTTTTTGGAAATGTGCATTGATCAGCAGATATACTTTGGATCACAGCCTTTTTGTAAGTCGGAAATTGCACTTGTTTTATTAGTTGAGAAGAAATTCCTAAAAGTTGGGAGATTAAAAATTCATTTAATATGGAAAACATAGACATTTTCTAATCCTTTAAATGTTGACTTTTATTATTTTTAATGCTTACAGACCAGATCATCAGATGTTCATTCATCTGGATCTTCAGATGCACATGTAAGTATGGAAGACAACCTTTGCTTTTAATAAAAATTTAATTTTCCTTCTGCATAACCCTATGCTTATCCTTATGTATAATACATAAATTTAATGTCGTGTATATAACAATCCTTTTTTGTGCTGCATGTGTATGTTAACCGCTCATATCACATTAGAAGCCTAATATCCATGTTTCTTCTTCATTGTGCTGAAAAAATCTGCACATATATGGATGTGCGTACTTAAATGTTGACCATAGAGTTGTGTTTTACAAGTTCTTTTCACTGAATATAACACTTAATGAAATCCTTGCAAGTCATTTGCATAGCTCTAATCCATTGTTCTAATGGCATAGTGTTTCACAGTGAAGTACAATTATTTATTAAGCTGTGTTTCTGTTAGACTGTATACTTTTTGCTTAGAGCTTTTAGTTATTATGTTTTTGTTTTGTGTTTTTGAGAAAGGCTCTTACTATGTAGTTTAAGCTGACTTTGAACTTAGTATGTAGCCCAGGCTGGCCTTGAATTCCTGGTGATCATCCAACCTCAGTCTCCCAAGTGTTGGGATTATAGACGAGCTCTGGAATGTTACCACACTTGATTGCTTTTAGGTATTTTTAATATTCAGTAAATAATAATGAGTTTTTGTCTTTCTTACTGTGAAAACATTTGCACTAATTGTAAAATAATCAATGGGTAATCATTGGCATGTTAGGATGAATTAAGGAAGTGACACCCAAATGTGTTGGTAGTGATTGTATTCCCCATCAGGTACTGTTTAACAGAAAAGTTTGTTTCACTGAAGAATATTTTTGGTGAAGCAGTAAAATTTATAGTCTTGTATCTTTTTAATACTCTCTGAACAAGAAGTGTATGGAAGATACTTAGCGCTTATGGAAGTGTTTGTTTAAACAAAACTAGGTGGTTTTTGTCATGGAATACCATTTTTATGTAAGGAACAACCAACACACAAACTATGATTAATCAGACTTGGATATTTTACACTTTTTTGAAAATGAAGGGAAGAACCTGCTACTTGAAGGAAGAAATAATACTAGTATCACCTTGGAGCAGTCAAGTTAAGTTAAAATTACTGCAGACTTTGCCTAGTCTTGAGGACTTTGGTAATGGAATCAGTGGGGATATTAAGGAATATAGTTTTTTCAGGGCAACAGTGAAATTTGTCAGTATTTGAATATTTAGATTATTCCTAGTTTTCAGTAACATGTATGATTTTTTAAAAGTTTTTTTTTTTTTTTTTGCTGTTGTTGTTTTAAACTTTGCTGAAGATGGATGTATCTGGACCATCAGACAGTGATATGCCAAGTCGGACACGACCTAAGAGCCCAAGAAAGCATAATTATAGGAATGAAAGTGCCCGTGAAAATCTTTGTGATTCTCCTCATCAGAATCTTTCAAGAGTGAGTATTGGTAAAAATAAGAAAGGAAAGCTAATGATCTGTCGTTAATTTTACTTAAAAAGTAAGAAGCTATTTCTAGGTGTACTTATTCAATTTTTGGCAAAGAAATATTATATATGTAAAATACTTAGGTTAAGATTCACAATTCCTTTGTTACTTACTGAAACAAATACTCAGTATCAATCACTGGAAATAACACAGATGATTAAAGCAGTTGTGACTTTGAGCCGGCAGTTGAACTCATGCTGGGAGGCAGACAGCAGCAGTGCTGCTCATTGTGTTAAGTGCAATGCCTTGATCAGTCTGGAGCACAGAGAAGGAGCTTCTTCACTTCTGGATCTGCAAAGCAATCTTGGGCTTTAATTTTTTTACCTATTCTAAATGATTTTTCTTAAGTTTTGGAACATACAGCAAAAATAGTTATTACCAGTGAGTAATAACCATTAATAACACATCTTTTACTCTTGTTTAATATTTCTAAGCATCAAGTTTTATATTTTTGAGATGTATTTTATAGAAACACATCTTTAAATATCCTGTTTTCATTTCTAATATTTTTCATTTCTGCAAAAACTATATGCAAACTTTGTAATAGATAACTGTGTTATTCCTTTCAGTAAGTACTCCATAAGCCATAAAGTTATGCTTTTTATTGAATTTTGTGTATGTTTGCCTTTCATTTAAACTTTTGAAGTTGACTCCAAAGACATTGAATGGTCGTAAAACATCTTCCGGCTCAGAGAAGTTTTATTTCGAATCTGTTTCTGAAACAAATTATTGGACTTTGGGTTATAAATTGTTTTAGTTTTCTCAAAGGAATTTTAATGTAACTTTAAAATAGTTCGCATGAATGATACTCTTCCATTCTGCATTTCCCAAGGCCAAATCTATTCAGTAACCAGTGAATTGATAAAAGTTTAATTTTGTAGCTTGTTAATTTCTCATTTTAGAAGCAGCAAAACTGTTGTTTTAATATTTTAGGCTGTACTTAATAAACTAATCTACCTTTTAAGGTGATGAAATGAGTAATGGGGTATTTAGTCCATATTTCAGATGGAAGCTGCTTTTAAAGTTACACAAGTAAAGAATGTTTATGTGTTTTCTTGCATATCTTTAAATATTTTCTTATGTAGATTAGATATCCCATACTTAGAGTGCTTAGGACCAAAAGTGTTTTGAATTTCAGGTGTCTGATTAGAGAATATTACATAGCATAATGAGTTATCTTGGGAACAGGACCTAAGTCTAAGCATGGAATTCATGTATATTCAGTATAAGTTTCATACACATAAAGAGCAGTTTTACACTATTTTTTAGTGCACCTGCATTTTGACTGCAGCCTATCACAGAGGTCAAGTTTCTGGTTTTTTTTTTTTTTTTTTTGGTGGAACCGGGGCTTGAACTCAGGCCTTTGCACTTGTCAGGGAAGTGCTTATTCCATTGAGCCATCTTCCCGGCCCCTGAGGTCAGGTTTCTATGGAATTTTCCACTTGTTGTATCATGTTGATGCTTAGAAAGTTTCAGATTTTGGATTTTTGGATTAGGAATATTCATTGTATATTTCAAATTAACTGGTACAGTTTTATTGTATCTGAAATCTGAAATACTGTTGGTGACATATTCCCAAAAAAGAAAATAAAACTATGTTCATAAATACTTATTATTAAGAGTGAGGAAATTGTGAAAATTACAAAAGGATGTGATATGATTTATAGTACCTGAAATGGAGGTTGCAGATGGCAGATATACATGGAACATAGAAATATATACTTCCCTCTTTATATTTAAGGATTTTTCTTAGAAATTTTTTTTGTATGTGTTTTAGGACAGGGTCTACAGGGTCTCACTACGTAAATTGGACTTGTAGTGATCCACCTGTGTTCAGCTTCCCAAGAGCTGGGATTAAAGGCATGTGCCACCATGTCCAGTCTCAGTCGCTGCCTCAGTGTGCCCTGAGGGTGGGGCCAGCACCGCAGCCTGGGGATTGAATCCTGGCCGCTGTGTCTGCCTAAGCAGGTGCTTTAATCCATTGAATTCTTTGGCCAGCTCTTGTTGTTGTTGTGCAGGGTCTCACTACACAGCTTGGACTTTTAGTGATCCTTCTTTTTTTTCTGCCTTCCTAGTGCTGGGATTACAAGCATTCACCAGCATACCTGGTCTTAAGGATGTTTTCTGTTATTGCTACTTTTCCTGAGAAATGTCTGTATTTTCCTTCCTCAGTTGCTTTTTTTTCTTGGTCTAAGCTTTAGTGCCTGTTTTTGTTTTTAGCTTTTTAAAAGATTTTTTATGGTACTGACCTTGAAGTAGTAAATCAAAATACTCTTGAATGAATAGATACATACATCAGAGTTAAGCCCAAGGAAGATACCTGATGCTTAAGTAACCCAAGCTTTACTTTACAGTGAAATGTTTTGGTCTTGTATTTTTATTATTTTTTTTGAGACAGGGTTTCGCTGTGTAATTCAGGCTGGCCCTGAATTCGCATATAGCCCAGGTTGGACTTGAATTCATGACAATCCTGCCTCAGACTCCCAAGTGCTGGGATTATAGAAGTGCACTGCCCCGTCTGGCTGACAGTGACTTTTTTTAAAAAAAGTAAGCTATTCTGAAGACTTGAGTATCAGTTGAGGTATATTTAATTTATAGATACCATTAAGAATGTATAAATAAAGACGTGCTTTTTATTTCTTTGGATAGCCTCTTCTGGAAAACAAACTTAAAGCATTCAGTATTGGTAAAATGAGTACAGCCAAGAGAACTTTAAGTAAGAAGGAACAAGAAGAATTAAAGAAAAAGGTAATGTTTAAAATGTATCGGGTTGTCCTTGGAAATGAAATGTGTCTAAGGTACCAATAGAGCATTGTTTTCCTGAAGATTTTTGACTGGATGTTCTCAACTCCATTTCAAGTCAAATTTATCACATGTGCTATATTTATAAGAGTCCAGTTTTTATCCATGTGTCCTATAACCTGTTTTTTCTCTTTTAATGTAACAATTTTGCTGATTATCTGTGCTTTTTTTTTTTTAGTATAAGTAAGAAAGTATGGGTATGTATACATTGTACCCACTGCCCTGAGGTGACTGATCCTGTGCTATGTATATTTTTCTGCACATCTCATTTTTAATTTAACATATTTCAGAGATCACTTCAGATGGAGATAGCCTTTATTCTTTTTATAGCTTTATGCAATAGTTTAATCATCTAAAATCCTAGTGCAAGTATTTGATGTTTTGGTCTGTTACCATTACAAATTTTTTTTTTTTTTTT